GCGAAGTGATATGGAACTGTAATGCGGTCAAGAGCTGCCTGGAACTACGTTCGCCGTGCGTTTCCCTGAAAATAATTGCACACCTCAGAACGTTCATCAGCCAATCAGATTCAAGCATTCAACGGCCCGTAGTATAAGCATTAGTAATATTTTGCTCGATGCGCCCTCTTGTGGCCTCAGGAGAGAAGCCAAAAGCTTTTCTTCACCCTAACTGAAATGATGCATTTTAAATTCGAATGTTGATCATATTTAAGTACAAAATTCGAATTTAGTTTTTCAGCAGCCCTACTACAAATAGCCTGTAAGACGAGTGACACAACAGAGGTTTGGAAAAAGATTTAAAGTAAATAATGAGTATGAGGTGTTTCTTATATTTAAATAGCATAAAAAGAATCAGCTTTGTGGCTTTACAGATTTAATGCCCATTATGCCAAAGCCTGCTGTGTCACTGAAGGCCACAGGTGGTGGGCCATCCTCTTCCTTGCCCTGGAAGTAGACACTTCATCTGTCCCTGATGTGGTTGTGGCCTGCACCATGCTACATAACATTTGTAGTTGTAACAGTGGAAGATGATCAGCCTGAGGAAGAAGAAATGGCTGGGAAGACTGTAAACGTAAGTGCTCTGCGTGTCCTGCAGGATCATGATCACATTTATTATTATAATTAAAAAACACATTGGTCCTCCAGGGACAGGATTGGACATGCCTGACAATCAGTTACAGAACATGATCACAAGAGTTCTTGTGTGAACTGTGGTGATCATTACTAATGACTGCAGACTTGCTCGACAAACAAACACAACAACAGATCTATGACATGTTTACTTTTACCAATATGTCAAGATGAAGATGTTCTTATGTTTTGTGCTTTGATATTTCCAAAGGTCACCAAAACAATCCATTTGCAGTTCCACCAACTTTTCACTTTTGGGCACCATGGATAGGCAGAACTACACGTGGCTCAAACCATGTCCCTAACACAGAATTTGAAAAGTCTGTCCCCCAAAACCAGCTGAGGTTTGTGAAGACCATCTGAGAGAGGAACTGTACCAGCAGAGGGTAAAAAAAAATACAATTTAGTATATTTTCTCTTTTTAGGAATGATGTACAAGGCCATTATTTTCCCTGAAAACATGCAGCTCGTCACACATTTTATGTATTTAGTAAGACTGAAGAACTTCCGAGGACACCATGCCACAAGCCAAAGAGAGAAAACTAAAGGTGACACTACTTTGGCTAAACTGCAAGAAACTGGTCCCAGACTGTTTTCACAGAGCATTATGTTTTATAGAACCGATTCCATGAGAATAATTCAAAGGATGTCCATGATGACCTTCAGAGGCTTGACCTGGTCCTGCAACTTGCCGAAAAAAATCAAGTCAAGTAGATGAACAGCTGTTTGCAAGAATTGCTTCTTAAACATGGCTTTATCATGAACCTATCTGTTTCTCATGAGGAATATAGAACATTAATAAAATAAACAACAACTAGATAATTTATTTGATTATTTCCTTAATCAGATGAAGCAATGAACAGTCACAGCCAAGCACTTTTGGGTAATTTCTGTTATAAATTCGGCACATTTATTGGTCACTATATTGCACCGTTGGAAGTCTTTATATATATTTTAGTCAACCTATTATCTTCAGAGGCATTATCAACTGTTCAACCTGGTCCAATGGACATTGATGTACCAACTCGCAAATAATAGGGGGACTCATGGCGCTCTTGTCCGGTCATTCTTAATTTTGTTTTTTGGTATGGTGGGACTTTTATAGCATACTAGGAGTGTGACATCTTTAATAACAGGAGATTATCATAGCATTTACATACCTTAACCTAAGTATATAGCACATATCTTCACATAAATGTGACCCTGGAGCACAAAACCAGTCATAAGTAGGGAAAAAAAACATTATATATTTATTTATTTTTTTCTTTCTCCCACTTAATCAAATCTTAATGTAATCTCTTTAATCAATAACACTTTAAATATGGATTTCCTTCTATCTTTCTATCCCCTCAAAATTGGTATAATATTAAGAAAATCTCAAGTCAATTTTTATTGCGTTTTCGTTGCATAAATAAGTGAAAGGTGACTAAGGCTTTTATACATACAGGTTGAATTATGTTTTGTTTATTCGGATTCACAGCCAATGCTGTTTAAATAATGTCTGAGCACTAGTAATTGTATTCACTTGCAGTGCATCAGCAACAATCTTGCCATTGTGAACTTGTGGTTGCAGGTATCAGGGACTGGTTTCTAAACTGTGGCCAGAAGGTCTTCCAGTTGTCCCTCTGGAGAGACGAGGCCCTGGTTGAGCTCAGCTTGAGATCTCCTTCCTCAAGGCGACTCTCAGACCTGCTGCAACATTGAACTCCTCAAGCTATTCAGAAGTGAAGGTACACAACAGCATGCATCACGTAACCTAATTATTCTCTAATTGATCTTTCTTCATCTTCCTACACTTGTGAAAGTCCAATACAGTCAAAAATATATATTTCAAAACATTTACGTACATGAATTTTCTACTAATATATATTTTTTTGCCATATGTACCAAGTGGATGTACATTTTTGTGCTTTTTATACATTCATTTGTACTTCTATAATATTGGTAACACTTCAGAATTAGTTAAAGGTGCACTAAGTGATTTTTGAAAAACGCTAGTTTTGACCACAGCGTCGGACCGAGTCTCAAAACACACTTGTAGCCAATCAGCAGTAAGGGGTCGTGTCTTGTAATGTTAGAGAGAAGAGATCGACTATAGATAGAGATGGCAGATAAAAAAAAAAGAGGTAAATAGAGAATCAAAACATTAAAAAGAAGGGTTACGATCAGGCAAGAGCTTTCCAGCGGTGGAGAGAACTCGAGGAGAGGGAAGGGCTCGAATCGGACGCCAAGGTTGTGCCGTTTCTTTTTGATAGGTGAGTAACGTTGATTTTGCTTCGTTTCACACAACTTATCCGTGTTGGCTTTTGTTTAAATATGCTTGTGTCATCACTTTTTTCCGCAATCGTCGTTGCCATGGTTGCATACGTACTTGTGGGGTGGAGATTTCAAAATAGAGACGAGGTCCTGTTGGGGTATGGGCGTGCTTGTTTTGGTGCTTTCAAATATCAACATAATTTGGCAAAAATCGCTTAGTGCATCTTTAATGTTAATGCATTGTGTTGACTATATGTGACCCTGGAACACAAAAGCAGTGTTAAGTCGCTGGGGTATATTTGTAGCAATAACCAAAAATACATTGTATGGGTCAAAATTATCCATTTTTCTTTTATGCCAAAAATCATTAGGATATTAAGTAAAGATCATGTTCCATGAAGATACTTTGTAAATTTCCTACCGTAAATGTATCAAAACTTAATTTTTGATTAGTAATATGCATTGCTGAGAACTTCATTAATATGGACAACTTTAAAGGCGATTTTCTCAATGTTTTGATTTGTTTGCACCCTCACATTCCAGATTTCTCAAATAGTTGTAATATTGTTCTAACAATCCATACATCAATGGAAAGCTTATTTATTCAGCTTTCAGATGGTGTATAAATCAAATCTATTTTCAAAAAATGACTGGGTTTGTGGTCCAGGGTCACAAATCGGCACTGAACCTGCACAGCATGCTGTAACTTCCTCTAAAGTGAACCACCCTTCCTTAAACCCTCCCAGTCCTTTTCTCTCTCTTAACCCTTTAGAACCTGAAGCTAAAAATAGGCCGTTTTCACTAATTTTGTTTGTTTTTTTTACTATAAAATTACAATACAATGTGCTATCTTCAAGTGCAAGGTGTAATTTTTTTCAGGAAATTACTGGTTTTCAAGAAATTACTGTGTGTGGTGAGTTTGTAAATAGAATCGAAATAGACCAAAATATAAAAAACGGGAAGAAATTTTACTGCTTTTTATTTAGAAAAAAATCTGAAAACTCGTGAACGAAAGAATCTAATGCTTCAATCTTGAAAAAGGAACTATAATGCATTCATACAAGTCTTTTTGGAACACTGGATTGCACAGTTTTCACTCAGGAGCCTTTTTTTTAACCCCAGTTCTCCAGCCGTTTTTGGATCCTACAATCTAGTCACTCAAATGTGGTGCTCTCTGAAGCAGTTCCTGTCTAACTGCAAGCATAGTCCCACATCACATTCCTGGCACTTCCATGGGGTGCTCCTTTTGCATCGTATGCAACAACGCCGACCCATGCTGGCCCTCTGTGAAAGGTCTTGAGTGTCACTCACAGGAACAGGCAGATGATCGCATCGCTCTTTGGGGCTGCTATCCAGGGGAACACCTGTGAGCTGAGCAGCTAGCAGCTCCTGAAAGTTTTGTTGTGTCATGTGCTTGTCATGGTGGATGGCACACAGCTCTTTGTGTAAAATGAAGCTGTTGGTCACTGCAATGTCTAGGAAGTGCTGGAAAATTGTCATGTACCACTTCCGTGTTTTACGGTGCACCGAATTTGTTCCGAGCATCTGATCAGAGGTGTCAACTCCCCCCATGTACTTATTGTACTGTTGAACTGCTGTTGGCCTGGGAACAGGGACCTTCTCTTTTTGCCCATCCTCTGTCGTCTGCCACCTCAGCACGGTCTCCCCGCTGTACACCGTGTGGACAATTGTGCACATGGTGACCTCCCTTGTGTCCATCCACTTCACAAACAAAAGGACATCGTCTCTGATCCAGCGAATGGAGCCTCTTGGTGACCTTTTGCTCGGGGCATTTTGTTTGGTTGAAGGAACACCAACACTTCCTTCTCGACAAGTTCCACATGCACCGAATCCCAGCTGGTGCAGATGTCGAAAGAGGAGAGGGCTTGTGTAGAAATTGTCACAGTAAATCACATAGCCTGACCCCAGGTAGTCTCGGTTCACCAGTGACGTGACAACATCAAAAGACAGGCCTTTCCCAGATGCAAATTTTGACTTCCCGGTGTAGATTTTGAAGTCAACGGTGTAGCCGTTGACATCAGCTAACACAAAAAGTTTTATGCCCCACTTAGTAGGCTTGGCCTTCATATATTGCTTGAAGAATATCCTGGCTTTGGTGGCAATCATCCTCTCATCAACAGAAATGTTCTGTCTAGGGTGGTAAACAGACATGCACCTGTTCCTCATAATGTCCAAGACTGGTTGCACTCTGTGGAGACAGTCATATTCCTCTGTGCCCCTTTTCTTGTCATTCTCTGCATCTTCCATTGGACCACTGATGTGCAGATTGCAGGAGATTGCCAAGAAACGATCCCTGGACATCACAGTAGCGGGAAAGGGAAAGGGAACGTGAAACAAGGTCTTCTTCCTCCAGAAGTCCCTCACTTTTGGCAGATCCATCACACCCATGTAGAGAAGCAGACCTATGTACTTCTTCATTTCTTCAGGGTATACATCAGCCCATGTGAATTTCCTACCCCTCTCCAGATTTCTCATCGCATTCTTGTTTGTGTTTGCACACAAGATGTTTATGACCTCTTCGTCAAAATACTGACTGCAAATATCAAGTGGAGACCATTTTCCAAATGTGAGTGGAGGCTGCACTCCAGGTGTTCTTTTAGGAGTAAACCTTGGAACATTGGGCACTAGATCAGGATCTGCCTCAGTGTTCCATCTTCCATCATGTGATCCTGGTGAGAGGCTACGCGATTCCTCACGGCCATGAATGCGCCCACAGCTACGGCCCCTCTGAGGTGGTGTTGTGTTCGATGTGGATGGCCCATTTGCTTCTTCATAGGTAACTGGAGAAGCCACACTGGGGGGGGGAAATAGAAGCATGTGTTACAAACTCACGATATTATATTCATAAATATACTTTTCATTATAAAGCCATTTATTAGCAAGAGCAAATTTGTAAAAAAAAAAAAAAAAGTAACTATATTAATACAATAACAATGAAATAATAATAAAAGATAAAGCCTGCAGTTGCTTACACACATACATGCTCGTACACACCTTTACACAAACATACAGATATACACATGCACACATACATACATGCAAGTACACACACACACACACACATTCATATACAGAGACGCACACATAAACATATACACATGCACACACCTATACACAAACATACAGATATAAATATGCACACATGCATACATGCACGTACACACTTGCATACACACATGCATAATCGCACTTATACACAAACATACAGATATAAATATGCACACATGCATGCACACACACACTTGCATACACAATCACACTTATACACAAACATACAGATATAAATATGCACACATGCATGCACGTACACACTTGCACAATCGCACTTATACACACATACAGATATAAATATGCACACATGCATGCACGTACACACTTGCATACACACATGCACAATCACACTTATACACAAACATACAGATATAAATATGCACACATGCATGCATGCACGTACACACATGCACAATCGCACTTATACACACACATACAGATATAAACATGCACACATACACTTGCACTTATACACACACAGAGATGCACATGCACACATAAGCAAACATATGAATGCTATGGCGTTCGGACGGGCTCTTTAATATGACGTTGTAACATGCACTCGTCTCACTGAACGTGACGTCTACGTCTGCCACATTACTGTTCATCTGCCTGAACGTGACGTCTGCGTTTGCTGCAAAGGTTTTCAGCACATTCCATACACTTATCCGTGCTTTATTATACCTATTCATTCTCTATTTTTGTTTTCACTTTCACTCAATTAGCAATTAAGTGCTTTTTACCTTTCTTATGTATAGTTTTTTTTTCCCCAAATGGTAAATATTTATACAAATGATATACAAATTTCTGTATGCCATTGCTTCTTGTCAACATATCCACAGATACTTATGAAGAAATCATTAAAAAAAAGTTGTTCTAGCATATATTCACCACTAGGAGTCTCTAGACCAACACAAAATAACACATTTTAAAACATTGCTATAAACATTTGGGCTAATTTAACTAACAATTCAACAGTTCAATTTTTTGAAACTGAGATTTATATAAATAAGCTGAATAAATAATCTTTCCATTGATGTATGGTTTGTTAGGATTGGACAATATTTGGTCGAGATACAACTATTTGAAAATCTGGAATCTGAGGGTGCAAAAAAATCTAAATATTGAGAAAATCATCTTTAAAGTTGTTCAAATGAAGTTCTTAGCTATGCATATTACTAATCAAAAATTAAGTTCTGATAAATTTACGGTAGGAAATTTCAGAATATCTTCATGGAACATGATCTTTACTGAATATCCTAATGATTTTTGGCATTAAAAAAAAATGGATAATTGTGACCCATACAGTGTATTGTTGGCTATTGCTACAAATATACCCCAGCGACTTAAGACTGCTTTTGTGCTGCAGGGTCACATTTGTGATATTTACTCCATGGCCATTATTTACCTTTACCATTTTAACCTTATTAAGTGAATAATAATTCATTTTAAATGTCAATGTCTTATATTTGGTCAATACATTTAATTATAATATGATATAGTAGGGCTTTTACAAGTCAAGTTAAATAATTTACACTGCAAAATGACAACTGCAAAAAATTTTATGAGATTAATGTTTCAAATACATTTTTGAATGTACTAATTTATAATTCCATGTTGTCGATATAACACTGCACTCTGTCAGTGATGTAAACTATGTCAGTCATTGAAAATGCACAAGACTGGACTTTATGTATATGAATTATATCAATTTTAACATCACAACATATTTTTTTTTAGTGCACACAAACACAACTAGTGCTATGAATAAAGAATTGTATTCATCACTATTATGACAAATACATGTACATCTGTTTAGTCCTTTTTCACAACAAATGACGAAGAAATAAGAAATAACAATATGTGATGGGTGAGCCAATAAACTACATTACCCCAAATGTGGGTGCCTGTAAAATGCCCTCCTTCATATAAAATATCAAAACATTATTTATGCATTTTGTAACTGCAGGTTAAATGCATTCATGTCTTGCATTAAACAGTGTGTAAATGCATCTAAATGCCTCTTCAGATGCAGCTTCTGTGTTTCCTCTGCATTGCAAAGATTAATTTTGTTTATAATGATTTTATTAGTTTGTTAACAGCCCCAAATGTCTTAGTATTCTAATTGACTTTATTGATTAAATGTAAGAATTTGACGCAAAAGATAACGCACACTTCTAGAAAAAAAGGTTTATTAAGATAAAAATGCCCATAAAGGGTAAAAATCACTTTAAACTTGTTGGAAAATATTAAATTTCTATCACTGCTGTGAACTGACCACCACGTAGAATATGAAGAATATTAAAAACTTTAGGAGTCCGCTGTCCACAGCAGTCCTGCAGCACAACACACTCTGATTATCGTTATCGATAAAATCCCAGAAAATATCGAGATATAATTTTTGCCTATATCGCACACCCCTAGGCTAGATATTTATTTCTTCTTTGCTTGTTTGGTACACATAATTCACTGATTATCGTAAACGAAGCTTTTATCTTAGAAACAGATTTTCTCAACGACAACACGACAAAAAAATAGGTGAAATAGGTTTTATTTTTTATTTTTTTTGAAGGGGGTGGGTTCTGGTTGGGGGGGCCCCCCCCCCCCCACCCACCCAAGAGCTTTAACACAATTCGAACACTGCTTATTAAGCTTGGCTAATGTTATTTACAACATATTGTGCATTAAATTAAATGATTGTTTTTCTACTTCTGTCTTTAGGAAAGCCATCATATGTAATGTAATGCAGTGCCAAACCACATATGACCGTATGAAGCTCCCAGATGTGTTTGAGCACTTGAGAATGAAATGCAGTGTAGTACTTAAAGCTGCTGATGGCCAGGCTCGATGCTGACTGCTTTTGATATTGATCCGCCTTTGTCCAGGGACTCGTTACTCTATTTCTGTTTGGCAAATGTCTGTGATTGAAACGTATTTATATTGATGTCTCAGTTGTTGAAGCATTTTATGTTCGTACCAATATTTACACGTTATTAAATTTGCCAGAAATAAAATCAGTTGAAAGTGAGAGTCTGTTTTTTTTTGTTTACAGCACTGGTCAAAGTTTGGACACATTACATTTTCTAATGTTTTTGAAAGAAGTCTCTTACGGTCATCAAGGCTGCATTTATTTGATCAAAAATACAGAATAATAATAATATTGTGAAATATCATTACAATTTAAAATAATGGTTTTCTATTTTCAAATACTTTATATTTATTTCTGTGATCAAAGCTGAATTTTCAGCATCATTACTCCAGTCTTCTGTGTCACGTGATACTTCAGAAGTCAATGTATTGTCAACGTCTGAAACAGTTGTGCTGCTTAATATTTTTCTGGAACCTGTGATATTTTTTTTTACAGGATTGATTGACAAATCCTGGCAGATTATTCTTCAAAATAAAGAAATCTTATCAATTTAACATTACTGCTGAATAAAAGTATTAATTGTCTTTCAAAAAAGAAAGGAAAAGATAAATGAATAATAAAATAAGTGCTGTTCTTTTGTTCTTCAAAGAATCCTAATATTATGTTTTAAACGTAAAATAAAGCAAAGAAGAGAGGCGCTTGAAAAACTGAACATTAATCAGGCATAATGTATTTTTAGTATTATTTTACAGCAACAGTCTCAGATCTAGCAGACGATTGCGATCGACGGGTCGGCCATCACTGATGTGCTGTAGGCTACATTCAAAATGTAAAAGATAAAAACACAATAACCCCCAAATGTAAATAATTTCAAATAGGATAAAAAAAATTAAAATAAATAAACGACATGAGTAGGCCTATACCTATAAGCAACACAAACTTCACTAAAGGATTCCTTTGGGAGACACTTGTTATTTATATGTTATAGACTTTTTATACTTTTTTATGTTATCTTTATACTTTTACAAAGAGTGTAACGACAAAAAAATGTCTAAAAAATATGTCTAAATTATTTTATTATTATATATTTATATCTAATATGCACATAATTAATGTATATTGTATAAGTTAGCCGGGAAAAAGACAGACGCACTAAAAACGGCAATAAAAACAAAAAAGACAGACGCAGACGTCACGTCCATTGAGAGGAATGAATGAAGGGCAAGTAAATTGTGCATTGGCTGACACACTGCACTGAGCCGTGTGAGCAGCGTGTTATTACGACAAAAAAATGTCTAAAAAATATGTCTAAATTATTTTATTATTATATATTTATATCTAATATGCACATAATTAATGTATATTGTATAAGTTAGCCGGGAAAAAGACAGATGCACTAAAAACGGCAATAAAAACAAAAAAGACAGACGCAGACGTCACGTCCATTGAGAGGAATGAATGAAGGGCAAGTAAATTGTGCATTCGCTGACACACTGCACTGAGCCGTGTGAGCAGCGTGTTATTTATTATACGTGTTAGCGAAAAGAACAAAAAACTTCACTGCTACACGTGAATCACGCGTGACGTCTGGCTCGACACTTCACTGCCACACGTGATTTATGTGACGTCTGCGTGACATCTGCGTCTTAAATTGAATGGATTAAATAGCAATGATACGTGTTAGCAAAAAAAAAAACTCCACTGCTACACGTTAATCACGTGACGTATAGCTCAACACTTCACTGCCACACGTGATTTATGTGACGTCTACGCCTCGTCTGCGTCTTAAATTGAATGGATTAAATAGCAATGATACGTGTTAGCAAAAAAAAAAACTTCACTGTTACATGTGAATCACGCGTGACGTCTGGCTCGACACTTCACTGCCACACGTGATTTACGTCACGTCTGCACCTCGTTTGCGTCTTAAATTGAATGGATTAAATAGCAAAAAAAAAAAAATTAAGACGTCAGTGAGACGAGTGCATGTTACGTCATATTAAAGAGCCCGTCCGAACGCCATAGAATGCATGCACGCATACACACATATGCACGTACACACACGCACACACATACACGAGCAAACACATGAATGCATGCACGCACATACAAACTGGCATTTTAAACTGAAACACGGAGTCTATGGCTATTTTACTCACATTTCTCATAGCTTCATCAGAAAGAAACATAAGCTTCACTTACCAATACACGTCTGGATCAACGCCAGCAGCATACGCCTCCTCAACGTCTGAATAAACAGACTCCGGGTCTGAAGAGTCATGGTCAGCCTCTTCCCAGGTGTCCTCAAAGATCAAATCAATCGCGTCCTCTTTTGTATACCCTTTCTTCGCCATGCTTTTGTCCTTTTTTTAAATATTTTTTGCACTCTCAAACTCTCTAACCTGCCGCACTCCGTATCTCTCTACTCAAATCCGTCCTTCCCGCTCCCCCCGAAAGCCGCTGTGATTTGCTGATAGAAAGCACGCAATTACCGTAATAAGCCGTATATTGTCGTAAAGCGCAAGTTGTCTACTATCAGGAGCAATTGGATTTTTTTTCATAGCGCAAACGGTTGGTGAGTTACGGTTAGGGCTGCTCGATTATGGCAAAAATCATAATCACGATTATTTTGGCCAATATTGTAATCACGATTATTTAACACGATAAAGTCCTCAAAAAGTCCTCAGAATTATTGAAAATAATTATACTGACAGTAATAAAAAAAAAGCAAAGGACAAATACAATAGAATAAAAAGATAAAAATGAAACAAACTGTGCTTTAATGTTTTTTTATGCAAGTCTCAAGCAGTTTACAACCTACTACAGAAATGAATAATCAAATGTAAAATAAAACATCATAGTCTTCACTGTAAGAATTAAACATTCTTTGTTTCTTATTAAAGCTACAAATGTCCTTCACTCAAGAGCAGTGTGTGATTTTGAATTTGTCTTTTGTTGTTTGATTAATATTAAGCAGTCGCAGCAGGAATATTAGGCTGCTGTCACTTTAAGAGCAGCACGGATCCAATTTACCGTTACACGCGTATTTTCATTCTAAACTCTTTACGTTCATTTATTACATGACCGACGAAGGTATACATGAATAATCACTAAGCGCCGCATTTTGCGTGTATTTTTACCATTTAGGTGCTAAAAGATGACTTTACATGTCCGTGTTCTGTTCCGTCTCTGAGCGCATATATATTCCTGAGGAGCAGCGCGAGTTCTCTTTAGCGCTTTTAAAAACATGAATAAATATACTTCTATAAATCAAGCACGTCCCATTTTGCAAAAGTCACGTTACATGATTTTACCGATTTGCAGGCGAAATTGGGCTTTTATGGAGGAACGAAAGCGCAGCGCTGGAAAAGGGGGCGGAATGGGGCGCAACAATCGTTTTCAATCTCAATTATTGTATTTTCATAATCGTTGGAGGCCAAAATCGAAACTGTTTTTTGATTAATTGCACAGCCCTAGTTACGAAATCATGAATACAGCAATTGTGTCGGCGCCGACACGTTCGGTTTTAAAGGAGCCTCGCTGCTGCAACAGTCACTAAATAAATTACACTTAGCTTTTTTAACATACTGATAGTGATTTTCTATGTTAGTTTCAGCAGAGCCCGTGCCCCCACCAACAGTCCTCAGCTACTCCGCAACTCTGGGAAAAAATAAAATTGGTAAGCAAGACAAATCGGTTAGCTAAATACTGAAATACGAATTGTTTTTAAGTAACAAAAAGAAGGGCCTACGTGTCATGCGTTTAGAATTCTGGAGCCTTGGGTTGCTAAGAAACATGGATTCTGAGAAGGGTAGTTAACCCTCTTAGCGCCAAAGTCGCAAAATTGCGACAAGACGTCATACTTAATCAAATAGACTGTAAAATATTATGACATTCAGGAGGACCGCCCCTGATTACGTCATAACATGCAAATTAGATGAGTATATTTACACCCCACATAAACTTTCGGTCATGCCCAACATTTTTCTAATTTACAGTAGATCTCTATCTTTAAGCCCTTTCAAGCCACAAGCTTTTGAAATCTTGATGTCAAAATCCAGCATTTTTCCAAAAATCCCTGGCGCCTAAAGGGTTAATAAACACTTAGAAAAGCCACGTTGGTATTTGCCTTTTTGCTTGTTTCTTGCATATTGGGAATGCCTGCATTAAAACAGATTGCAAGCCCCGGCTCAGATTACTGTAACCTGTAAAACAGGATAAAGAGAAAAGAACAGGAGTCGCGTCTGGTCCTTCACTTCTCCTCTGCTGATATATTTTTAATGCAGTCAACTTTAAGTCTTAAATGCTTTTAAAGCATTACATTACATATCATTAGTGTCACCAATTAAATAAATAAATATAATGCAAATTTTATCACATCTTTTGTCTCATCTCTTCATTTTACCTTCTTTAGTTAACATTTAAATTATAAATAGAGCCCTTTTATATTTAACAGCAATATTCGTGTTCACCAACAAAATGAGATTTAGTGTGTTTATGCATATTAACTGCAAAGATGCTTGTATTTGACTATACTTGCTTCTTAAAGATATTGTTGTACACAACTCAACTCTTTTTTCCCGCCATAAGAGTGAATTTGTAATGGATCGAACACAGATTCAAAGGCTTCTTGTTCGAACACGTGGCCAGCAAGCGCGCCAAACGCGATCATAGCGTGAGCTTCAATGAGGCACTTAACCTTATGTATTAACTCTCTAATGTGAACAAATACGCGTTTTATAACTGAAAACATGTACAGTAAATATAATGACCACTGAAGCATACTTAAATCACCATTTCTCCCGTTAGCGTTAAGCAAAACAACTTCTCAAAGTACTTCTGAAGAACAGCTTACAAACACAACGCATGGTAATAGTGCAAACGACTCAATCTGTAATGGTTTCTCTGTGAATTTTCGTCCTTTAACCTGTAAAACAGGGTAAAATAAAAAGATCGGCGTCTGGTCCTTTACAGCTCCTCTGCTGATGTGAGGAGGACGCATGCGCAGTAGCCCCTGTTCGCGACGCCACAGAATAACAAAATAAAAGTCCCTTTTTCGTTCTGTCCATGTAAATACATATACAATCGTCAATTTGTATGCTGACACTGAATCAGGAAATAAAGCAATATAACCAATGAGCTTATAACTCTATGTAAAAAGGTAATAGTGCAAACGATTCAATCTGTAATGGTTTCTCTGTGAATTTTTGTCCTTTAACCTGTAAAACAGGGTAAAATAAAAAGATTGGCGTCTGGTCCTTCACAGCTCCTCTGCTGATGTGAGGAGGACGCATGCGCAGTAGCCCCTGTTCGCGACTCCACAGAATAACAAAATAAAAGTCCCTTTTTCGTTCTGGTCTTGTAAATACATATACAATCGTCAATTTGTATGCTGACACTGAATCAGGAAATAAAGCAATATAACCAATGAGCTTATAACTCTATGTAAAACCAATGCTTTCAAGCCTTTGCCATTATAAATGGAGAAGCGCTTAAGCAAAAAGAAAAAACACACACAAAATATGTATAATAATTGTGCTATCACATCAGCATGTAATGTATATAAAATGTATATAAAGGATTAAATAAAGCACAACTGTTACTATAGTCTTTTATATTATTGCCTACTAGACTACATATTAAGTAGGTTAATTCATGTGTATTCCTTGAGAATGAACACCAAATATACTCTTTGTCCTAATGACTTTTAAACTCTTGTGCCCCTCTTTAAGGGTTGCCCCCCTTTATACCCAACAGGAAATCCATATATTCGTAGTATATAAGTAGTAGCAAATTTACATGGGTTTAATGATGCAGAGCTAATTTAGTCAACATTGCTAATTATATGTTTTCTTCTGATGGAGCATTAAAAAAGTAGAAGGACACCCCTAAACAATATGTGTACACTCTAAAAAATGCACTCTAAAAAATGCTGGGTTAAATATAACCCAGCGCTAGGTTAAAAAGGGACAAACCAACCAATAGCTGGGTTTGTCCCTTTTTAACCCAGCGCTGGGTTATATTTAACCCAGCATTTTTAAGAGTCTGCTGGGTTCATTGTTTTTTTTTCTGCCTAAAATCTGGTTTGAGACTGTTCGGATAATGAACCTGGGTTAATTTGACTAAATTTTGGGACCTGTGACCCAACAGTGCTGGGTTGTGCTTGAAAGCACATGGCATTCTTAACAGAAATACTGATGGAAACTCAAAAAATGGAAAATAAATGTGAAATTCCCTCAAGGGGGTTATTTTTTAAGACATTAAAAACATTTTGAGAGTTTTGTCGAAGTGTTTTTCCTCACAAAAAAATCACACAAGCATTGCCCCAGTAAGGGGCAGCCGTAAAAGCCAGACAAATTTTGTCTTAAATGTAAGTTTTCTGCCAGAACATAGTCTGAAATTAATGACATTTGAGAAGTGAGACCAATATGGCTGAGTACCTGTGGCTCAAAAGACTCCACTGAATTTCTGTATGTTCTCATGTTTGGAGAAAACCAATGCTTTCAAGCCTTTGCCATTATAAATGGAGAAGCGCTTAAAGTCCCCATGAAATCAAAATTAACGTTTTTTGGGTGTTAGTATCATACACAGAGTAACGCTGCGTGTTTCTAAGCATTTCAGAGGACCTTTAAGCAAAATGCATGGCTGGTTGCAGTAGATGTTTGCTTTAAAGGGATAGTTCACCGAAAAATGAAAATTCTGTCATTAATTACTCACCCTCATGTCGTTCCAAACCCGTAAGACCTTCGTTCATCTTCGGAACACAAATTAAGATATTTTTGATGGAATCCAAGAGCTCTCTGATCCTCCCATAGACAGCAACACAACTGTAATGTTCCCAGGTCCAGAAACGTAGTAAGGACATCGGTAAAACAGTCCATCAGTGGCTCAACTTCAATTTTGTGAAGCTACGAGAATACTTTTTGTGCGCAAAGAAAACAAAAATAACGACTATATTCAACAATTCTTCTCCCCCGAGTTACCGTCTTCCACCGTTTTGGGGAGTACCTAATGACAGAAGAGTAATCAATGACAGAATTTTCATTTTGGGGTGAACTAACTCTTTAAAGTATTGGTCATCTTTAATATAAAGTAGTCCAAATAGTGTTCCCCGCTGTGGGAGTTTCTACAGACTGTGGTGTATGGACTTCCAGGGGATGACTTCTGCGAGGATTCACTTTTGCTGACAAACAGTAGTTATATATTACTATTGTGACCTAACCTCTACCTTCAGCTTCTATTACGCTGTCTATTCTTTTAAATTAACTTGTACACTTCTACTTCTGAATGCTTGTATTTTCTTCTACACTGTAATTACATTACAATAGATGAGCCTTGCTCTGAGCATTCCTCT